ATAATATGTGTGTGTACTGTGTATATTTATTATGTATATGTAAATACACAAACATACATGTATATATTGAAAAAATATTTACATGTATATATATTAATATTCATACATAATTTACATTATAACAAATATTTTATGTATAAACAAAACATACTTTTCTTAAATATATGCATGCATGTGTGTGTGTGTGTATTTATACATACATAATAAATATACACAGTATACACACATATATTATGTAAACAAAAACTTATTTTGGATGCGATTAATCGTTTGACAGCACTATTTTTAATATATTTTAAAGTTTATATTGGAATTTTATTGGACTTGTTTAGTTGTGTAGGGCACTAAATTTTTTATTCAGTATATTTAAAAATTGTATTTATTCATGTGATGATAATATGGTGATTTGCTGTTTCAATGTTCAAAAAAAAAAAAAAAGTTTGGGGTCAGTAAATTTCTTCTTTTCTTTTTTTTTTAAAAAGAAACTTTTAGAATACTTTTATTCAGCAAGGATGTGTTAAATGGATAAAAAGATTGTCCCTTATTTTCCTTTTCTGAAGTTGGCAACCCTAGTCATATATCACATCACAGGACATGAAATACTTCCCAAAAAGTACTTCATGACAACTACCCTTTAAGACAGTCAGACAGGCAGCTGTGGATTACATTAACGCATGTCATCATACACATACTGGTAAAAAAAAAATGTATAACCTGAATGCACTGTAAGTCGCTTTGGATAAAAGCGTCTGCTAAATGCATAAATTATTATTATTATTAATTATTATCATCCATAACTCTCTATCGATGTCTATATAACCCAACCACACTATTATTCCACCCAAAACCGCTACTTACATCCAGTTTCTTTCTTGATTTCTTCAATGTCCTCTTCTCTGAGTAAAGATGAAGCTCTGGAGCCCATGACTGCCGTTTCTCCTGTAACGTTAGATAAGCTCGAGCTAACGCATGAAATTCACTCCTTATCACGAAACACAGAGCTCTGTAAAGCTGTCGGATGAACAGTCAGCCTTCACAACTGTCTGTCCGGCGTTATTAACCTCCAGCTTCTTAATTACAACCGGAACAGGCGAGATCCCAAACACATCTAGTTGAATAAAGGAAGAGTTTGAAAGGCTAAGCTAAAGGTAGGTCGGTGAGGTCTACATGACGTCTGCAAATGCGCGGTGGATACGCCTATAGAATAACGCGCTATGATTGGTCGGTGCGGTTGTCTGTCAAGTGAGCGGGATTTAAAGGGCCAGGCGTGTGATTTCTGCTGAGGGTGGAACACAAAATAGTCCCTAAACTGAATAAAGCAGGTAGAGTGACAATGAAATGGAGATGCCATATCAGAAAAATGCAACATTTACAAAATGAGAACAGCACAAAAGAACTGAAGGGTTATACAGAGCCATCCAAAAGACAAAACCATTGATGTGAAGAATCAAAACTTATTCTTTGTTTCTCTGTAATTTATATTCTTTTTGTCTTAAAGGGGTCATATGATGCGATTTCAAGTCTTCCTTTCTCTTTGGAGTGTTACAAGCTGATTGTGCATAGATAAGATCCCTGAAGTTGCAAAGACTAAAGTCTCAAAACCAAAGAGATATTCTTTATCAAAGTTAAGACTCTGCCACGCCCCCCTAAAACGGCTCGTTCTAACACGCCCCCACATATCTACCTCACTATGTGGAAATATTTGCATAATGCGCCCAAATGTTCACGCAAAGAAAGAAGGCGTGGTTTCAGTAACCGCAGTTAGTGTTGATGCAGCCATGTCAGGGAGACGCTGTGTGTTTCTAGGCGAAAGCAAAAGCACTTTATTTGGCCTTCCGAAAGTAGATGCATTTAGGAATCTTTAAGATTACTTACAACAGAACAGCAATGCATTTAATGCACGACCGTTACGTGAACCTAGGAGAGGAGGTAATTCAGAATCAGCTACTGTTTTGTTATTAGTTTAAGTATTTGCTATTGATGTGTGTGTGTGTGTGTGTGTGTGTGTGTGCGCGAGCGCGAGCGAGAGAGAGAGAGAGAGCGTTTGAACATTAAAGCATGTCAACATATTCTGTTACACCAAATACACAAAATAATGATCTTTAAAAAAGCATCATATGACCCCTTTAAAGAAAAAAAATTTAATTCCTGACAGTAGTACCTTTAAACTATGTGGCATTAAATAAATTTGCTTTTGTTGTTAAAAAAACTGAAGTATTATTATTATTAGTGTAAAATTTATTTATATACCATTCTAGTTTTTATTAATATATTTATACTTTGTTTTCATTTTCATTTTAGTTAAATATTTAGCAATTTTGTTACGTACTATTGTATTTTTTTTTTTAATGTTAACTATTACTATTTAGGTTTAATTGTTTTTTTTTCCCAGTTAGTAATTTTAGTGCTTAAACTTAAGAAAATGATAAATGTTGCCCAGACAATTAACTGAAATAAGTTAAGGTTTTTCATCTAATACTTATATTTTATTTCAGCAAAAAATGTTTTTAATAGTTTTAGCTTAACCCTGGCTCAGACACTTTAACTTTATTAATTATAGCTTGTGAGAAGAACACAATGGAAACAAAAAGCTAAAGTTAATTTCTTAGAAAGAGGGCTTGGTAGTTGTCTTTCATGATGGTGTTGAAATTGAATGTTTATCATTACCACCATATGTTTATGGTTTACTGTTACAAATACTGATCTAAATGACATTCCACTTTCATTTCGACAAAGTATAATAGCAGCTTGAGCAATGAATAAGAAAGGTCTACTTATGAAAGGTCTAGGCGTAGGGACTCTATAGGAACATGTCCCTACCAATATCCAGTGACTAAATTGTCCCGAGCAATAATTTTGATCAAACAATTAGATATATAACCAATGTTGTTGTCAATAGGTCATAGCACTGATATTACCTGAGAAGTTACAGTAAATATGCTAGAAAACCATGTGCTTTCAAGGACTTACATTTAATTCATGTGTGGAATAAACTGAACATTCACTTCAATGGTATGAAATGACTGATGCTATGATTTCCTATTGATTTGTCACCAACTGAACTGCAGTGGTCGAACTATTTAAAATATAGTGAATTAAGCTACAAACTCAATCACAATGCACAATGTTTCCATCTAACATGCATTTTGAGGTGCAGCTCGTCATTTTAATGGAGTATTTTCACTGGTGAGCAGTATGGGGAGACCGGGGTAACACGGGTTAGTTTGAAACACTTGCAATTTCTCCAAGTTACAAATCACCTGATTTACTTCACTCGCGCTTAGTTTAGTCCTTATTCCACATGTGATGAAGAAGATCCCTGGGGCAGACACAGCAGATTTTAGAGGGGAAAACTAATTTTGATTAAAGACAGTAACTTTTTTTTACTTTATTTTTGTGATGGTGATGCCTGCTTTGTTTAACTCATCAAAGTTAAATTATGGTTTTTGTTTGTCTGTGTAGATATTTTTAATGCAAGTTGTTAGTGCTTATGTTTTTGTGTTAGCTATAAGGTGAACTAGTTCATTGCTACAAGACTCTGGGTTAGTTGTAACAACAAGAATTGGGGTTAGTTGTAACATCAATGAAACATTTTACAACCACGACAAATTTTAGTTGTAATAGTATGCTTTCCTTGAATTTCAGTATGGCTAAGTCTTTGAAGAGAAAGACAAACTGAGTGATGTCTCTCAGCATTTTGAATTATATAACAGTAACAAACATGCTCACACACAAACAATGTTCCAGTGTTCAACTTCACTTTTATTATGGCTGATCGCCACTGACAGAAACTTGCATAGACAGACAGACACACACACACACTAATTAAGTTGAAAAGTCAGTGTTGAATAAAAAAATAAAAAAACTTTTTTTTTTTTTGATCATAATCCTTATTTCATAATGTTACATCTCACCCCCAGGGTAAGACACAACTAACCCGGACTATGGGGTGAATTGTAACATTTCAATCCTCATGTTTAAAAAAAAAACCCCGAAAGAACAAACAGAAAGAAATTTCTGTTTGTGCTGCAAATATTACAGCTGCGTCATGTAATAGCAGACACTTGTAACTAGTTTGTACCACATTTTGAATGCACTGGTTACAAAGACCAGATACAAATTGAAATGTCAAAAATTTAACAACCATCCTCGGTCTCCCGGTTACCTCACCTTAATATGTCCGTATATTTGTGTTAGATGTTAACTTTGGAATGGAAATATGGATATTTTATTTGTAAACATCATACTGCAGTTACTGAAAACTAGCGAGCTAAGCCGGTAGTCGTGTAAACAACGAAGACGCGAAAAGCGGAGGAACACACAAACCGATTCAATTGAGTCATTTACTCCGGAACCGCTCCGATTGATTCAAACTCGTGACTTCGATCATTCACTTCAAGCGATTCACTAGCAAAAAACAGATCCAACGAGTTTTTTATTTTCATTTTCGACATCGCCTGAATGATTTTAAAAAGCGATTTAAAAAAGCACGTACAGTGATGGGTGAAACGGAGCTTTTCGAAACTCCGAATCAGTTACACCACTGCGTCGCAAATGATTCACTATTTCGAAGCGCTCCAATCGGATCGCGCATTGCGAATCATTTGATTCAGATCGGGACTTCAAAGTAAATAGGAGTAAACTGCAGGCTGGAGCAGTGGGCGTGGCGAAAGATTAGGGCCTGCCGAAAGGTAGGGGGCGTGGATAACGGTCTTTCTATTTGGTTAGGGTTAGGGTTAAGGGTTGGGTTAGGGGTTAGGCCCTGTCCCAAATGGCACCCTAAACCCTCGCGGTCTTCCTCTGAGTCCGGACACGCGCACGCGGGTCCATTGTAAGTCCGTAAGACAGCAAGTGCACATATACCCCTTGTCCAAATACCCACACTTGCGGTCTTGGCCACTTGAGAGCGCGTGCGCGCACAGTGTTTTTACTTTTATTGGTGCAAAGATGAGTTGTGGTGATATTTATTTTGTACAACATTTGCAACTGCTTTTTATCACTTAATTAGAAGCACCACAATTTTAAATTATGTCATGTTATAGGGGCTACTGAACAGACATTTAGAAGTTTTTAAAATGCAAAGTATTTCAAATTAAAATTAAAATAAAGCTGTGTAAACACTTGCATTTTTACAACACTATAAGTGTGTCCCATCAGGTAATGAAAAGTTCGACACACACTTGTGGTCTTCACACCCACTTGAAGACTTCGGCCAAATACAGGAAATACGTCATTTAAGTAATCAAGTGGTCAAGTGCAAAGACTGCAAGTGTGGGTATTTGGACAAAGCCAAAGTGTTCCAGTTGGGACAGGGCCTAAAGTTTCTGTTGTAGCATTCACCTTTCGGCATGCTACTTTTTGCCACGCCCATTACTCCGACCTGCGGGTTTCCCTGTCTCGTTTGCGCGGAAATGCTGCCATCTACTGCATGAAGAGAGAAGTGTTAGAACATGGATTACTCTGTCCAGCAATAAAAATGTCAAAAAAATCTACATGTTTAGATACAAGTAGCCTATGCTCATTATTTAACAACCTCAGCAACTATTAAAATAACAATCCACAAAATGTAAGTGGATAATTAGACTAAGATAGCCTATAACTGTCTAAGTGACATAAACCAGAACATTTAAACCAGAAATACTAAGCTGGAAGAAGAAGAAGATGATCACACTAAACCTCTGAATTAAAACCAAGTAAGCAAATAGTAAAATAAATAAATAAAACTTTCAAAATAGTAATAGTGGTGGCAGATCTATATTACCGGTATTATTATTATTGTTAGTAGGGCCTATACAATTTGAGAACACAGGTGAAACAAAATAACATTTAGCACAAAATAGATATTATTATTTTTAATAAATATTTGAGAATAAATGGGCAGAGATCATGAGTTTAGGGGTTTGCTGCAGCATAGCCTGTGTGTATGGAGTGGTCCAAACACTCATTACATGCTTTCATGCAGCTGGGTAAACATCGATGCTGGTTACTTGCCTACACAGCGGCTCTCAGCTCATTTAAGAGAGAGAAAGACCCCCTGGATGCTGCAGATTGAAGAAATGTAAAAGCTGTTGGCATATATACATTTTTTAAAGCTTCTTCAAAAATGTGGAATACGTGGAAAATATATTGGTAGAAAATATAGGCTACTGCTAGCAAATATATATATATATATATATATTTTTAGCCATTT